TATGTACACTACTGAGTGCCTTTTTATTTACATTAAAATTAGCTAATGGTTATTCACCTATTTTTCTAGCATCTAATAATATTAAATTTCCATCTTCAGTAGAATATGCTATTTAATATCCTTTAATTGGATCCCAACAAGCACTTTCCAAAGATCCTAACATTTTATGTTAATGAATTGAATCTGGTGATCTGGCATCAAATAAACATAGTTTTCCATCTTCACTTCCTGATAATATTACACTTTCCTCTTTTGTATTGAATTTAGAGATTTAAACTTTATCTTTATGATGATTGTAAGTAAACACACATTTCTAAAGCATTAAATCCCATATTTTAACTGTATGATCTGCTGATCCTGATAATAAAATGTTTGGCTTAAATGAATTCAAAGACAAACTCAAAACTGAATCTGTATGACTATCAGGTTTATAAGATTTCTTATTCTATTTCTTTAAGTTTTTAACTTTCTTATAATTCTGTTCAATCTCTCCTCCTAAAACTAAAGATGGTTCCAATACATTGACTACATCTAAATTCCAAATTTCTATTTCAGGTAAAAATGATGAAACTATTGCATAATTACCCTTGATTGCAGATGTACTCTCAATTTAACCTGGTTATATTGGTAACCATTCTACTGCTAAAGGGAATGCTGATAATTATATCTCATGATGCACAAATAAATTGGCCTTCTCTTCTTCATAAATATACACTTCCAATGATGAAAATTCATTTTCCTAAAATTTAGCATTTATTTATTTGATACGATCTTTGCAGCTATAATCAAAGCATCTGATGATTTGATTTGATAATCTTCTTTTTCTTCATCACTCAAATCCTCTATTGCTACTGGATATCCATCATCTGGCAATTACTACTTTCCATGCATTTCTAAATCTTAACAAAATACTGGAAGATTGTCTTCACTTGAATCTTCATCTTACTCTTGTATTTTACCCAAATCTTATGTCAAACTAAACCTTAAATAAATCTATTACTTTTTATTTATTAGTTTATCTTACTTCATCTAATTGATTTCCTCTTCATCTAAATCAAATTCTTTTGGCTACTTTATTGCATACCCTCTAGAAACCCATGCTATAGCTGATATTAAATTTTATGCCATAAATTATAAATTTTTATTATTGTATAAAATCAAATGTCATTACTCATTCTCATTAATCCCTTTTTTATTTAATAATGTTCATAACTGCTCTTGCAACAAGGCATTGAAGAATCTAAAAGCATAGCCTTCTCTATGTCATGCAATGCTTATATATATTTTCCGTTTTTCAAGTGTAAATTGGATCTCTTTTTTAAAGCTTCTGAATCAGCTTCATTCTTTTCAATGTATTTTGTTAATTAAACTTCTGCTTAACCAAATTAGTTTTAAGATATCAAATTATCCATCTCTTTCATAAATAAATCTCTATCTTACACATTCCCTCCGTCTTACATCAATTACTTAATATTATTTAATTATTCTAAAAATCTTAATGTATTTTTAATCCTAAATAATAAATTTGTAAATGAAAATAATTCGAACTTTCTCTTTGATGATTTTCTGTGCTTTTTCATAACAATTTTCNCTGGCATCAAATAAACAAAGTTTTCCATCTTCACCTCCTGATAATATTACACTTTCCTCTTTTGTATTGAATTTAGAGATTTAAACTTTATCTTTATGATGATTGTAAGTAAACACACATTTCTAAAGCATTAAATCCCATATTTTAACTGTATGATCTGCTGATCCTGATAATAAAATGTTTGGCTTAAATGAATTCAAAGACAAACTCAAAACTGAATCTGTATGACTATCAGGTTTATAAGATTTCTTATTCTATTTCTTTAAGTTTTTAACTTTCTTATAATTCTGTTCAATCTCTCCTCCTAAAACTAAAGATGGTTCCAATACATTGACTACATCTAAATTCCAAATTTCTATTTCAGGTAAAAATGATGAAACTATTGCATAATTACCCTTGATTGCAGATGTACTCTCAATTTAACCTGGTTATATTGGTAACCATTCTACTGCTAAAGGGAATGCTGATAATTATATCTCATGATGCACAAATAAATTGGCCTTCTCTTCTTCATAGATATACACTTCCAATGATGAAAATTCATTTTCCTAAAATTTAGCATTTATTTATTTGATACGATCTTTGCAGCTATAATCAAAGCATCTGATGATTTGATTTGATAATCTTCTTTTTCTTCATCACTCAAATCCTCTATTGCTACTGGATATCCATCATCTGGCAATTACTACTTTCCATGCATTTCTAAATCTTAACAAAATACTGGAAGATTGTCTTCACTTGAATCTTCATCTTACTCTTGTATTTTACCCAAATCTTATGTCAAACTAAACCTTAAATAAATCTATTACTTTTTATTTATTAGTTTATCTTACTTCATCTAATTGATTTCCTCTTCATCTAAATCAAATTCTTTTGGCTACTTTATTGCATACCCTCTAGAAACCCATGCTATAGCTGATATTAAATTTTATGCCATAAATTATAAATTTTTATTATTGTATAAAATCAAATGTCATTACTCATTCTCATTAATCCCTTTTTTATTTAATAATGTTCATAACTGCTCTTGCAACAAGGCATTGAAGAATCTAAAAGCATAGCCTTCTCTATGTCATGCAATGCTTATATATATTTTCCGTTTTTCAAGTGTAAATTGGATCTCTTTTTTAAAGCTTCTGAATCAGCTTCATTCTTTTCAATGTATTTTGTTAATTAAACTTCTGCTTAACCAAATTAGTTTTAAGATATCAAATTATCCATCTCTTTCATAAATAAATCTCTATCTTACACATTCCCTCCGTCTTACATCAATTACTTAATATTATTTAATTATTCTAAAAATCTTAATGTATTTTTAATCCTAAATAATAAATTTGTAAATGAAAATAATTCGAACTTTCTCTTTGATGATTTTCTGTGCTTTTTCATAACAATTTTCTTATGATTAATAAGGATCTTAGTGTTTGATTCATGATGAAAAACTAGATTTATTCATAGATGCAATTTTAACCTTTTCTTAGGGAACCTTATAAATATCTTTTTAATTATTAAGATAAAAAAATTAGACTCAAAATTCCATCTTAAGTTTCAAAAAGATTTGAATACTCTAAATTAAGTAATATCCTAAACTCTTCATATAGTCATATAAAAAAGTTCATAATTTGAAATATCAAATATTAGACTTTAATTTGTAATAATCTTTAAAAATAGGACAGTTTATATATCTTAATGAAACTAGTTTTTTATCCAGAAAATACAATAAATAATTATTATAATCCCGAATAATATTTAAGGTTTAACTGTGTATTATTATAATTTCTTTTATTCTTGAATAGAAACATAGATTTGCTTTAAATTACTTGTTGAAATAGATTCTTAAAAAATTCTATCAAAAATCTGTTCTTATTCTGTTTATCTAAATTTTAGATACTAGATATTAGAATTAACTTATTATTGATTATTTGATGGAGTAACAATACATTTAACTAATTTCTTATTTTTATTTATTTCAGAAAATTCATTAATATATGAGTTTCTTAAAATGATTATTATAATTAGACTTTTTCACTTTATAATTTATTTAATCCATATAAAATTTCTTACAAATTTTGTTTAAACTCATTATTTTATTCCTTTTTTTTGATTAATATTATTATTATATGCTAATTGGAAATTTTGAAGAATTTCGAATTAATATGGGACTGAATTAATTAGTTTTTATATGTGCCAAAAGAGATTAAGGATTCATCTTTTTAATTGATTGCAATACACAACTATCATATTAATCTTATTGAAATATTTAAATCATATAGACTCTTCATATAATAGTCAATAAATAATGACATTTAATAAAAATTATAATCATTATTTGAGCATATTCATGAATTTCTATCTCTTTAATTCCAAAAACAATTTTCTTTCTTTCTTGCATTTGAGTAATCTTGCAATTACTTTACAAGCTAAGTATTTTTCAATTTCATTATCATATTATTATTATTACTTTATTTTGTTTTCTTTTAGTTTTTCAATAATTTATTAAGCATAATGTTCCTTTTTATCCAAATCCTAATGATATTAATATTCCTATTACATCAATGATGTGTAATTATTAATCAATTTTTTCAGATAATTGCTATAAAGTTAGGCGAGCTAAGGCTAAGTCTTCTCTTCTTTTAGTATTAACTTCTATCATAATTCTTTCTTTTTCTCTTGAATCTTTCAATAAATTATATAAATTAGCAGATTGAGCATCATTATCAATCAAATTCTTTTCAAGTTCTTATCTCATTTCTTCTAATTCTTATTTTCTTTCTTTTGCATTTTTTGCTCTATATACAAATTTTTTTGGATTTTTTTAATTTAAATTACTTTTAGAATCTGTAGTAGTTTTATTTTAAATTAAATCTTTACTCTTTTGTTATTCTAATTATATATTATCATCTTAAATTTCAATAACTTTATTTTCTTCATAAACTTCAAATTCATCATTTTTTCCATAATCATTATCATCTTCACTATTTGATATTAATTATTATTGAATAATAGGTTATTTTATTATTTACTCTTCTTCATCTTCAAAATCATTATCATAATCATCTGCTTTTTCCTTTAAATTTTAAGTTTTTATTGAATCTTAATAAAATAATTAGTTTTGTCTTAATTATTCTAATTTAGCTTGTTTTTTTAAAATATCAATTTCTTATTGTTTTAAGATTTCTTCTTTTGTTAATTTTGTATTTTTTATTTTTGGAGTATTCTTAATTTTTACTTTTTATAGAAATTATTCTCTATTTACTTTCTCAATCGTTTATAGTCTTTAATTTTTTTATAGATACTAAGCTGCTTCTTTTATATAAAATTAATCATCAACTTCTTCTTCCCAATCAAAAAGGGCAAATACTTCCTTTTTAAGAGTTTAATCAATGGTCATTTGATTAATTTGTTATGAGTTATTAATAATCATTTATTTTTGTTTTTACTTTTTAAATACTTTAGAACTATTAGGTTATTTAGTGAGTTATACATCTGAACTAGAATTGAAGAGATTAGAATGAATTAAAGGAATAGTTTCAGATATATTAGTTTTTCCAAACTTAATGATTTTTGAAGTATTTAGAGTAGGTGATTAATTATTTGAACTATGTTAAATAGGTTCTTTATATTTTAAGTATCTATGTTTTTCTTAGGGAGTCAATAAATATTTTGTTTAAGCACTCATTGGTCTTTATGGATTCCATTTTGTTATTTGATTTTTTTAGATTTCTCCAAACTTTCTAACATTATACATTTAATTTCTCATTTGATTCATGAATTCTATTGTATAATTTGGTATCTATTCATCATCAAATTTGACTTCACTAAAATCGAAATTTAATGAAGGTTTCATTAATATATTTTTATTTTTATATTATACTATCTTAATAAGTCATTTACAAAATAGAAATATATAAATTTATTATAGATAATCATTTATTTTAATACAATATTAACAAAAGAATATTAATAAATATTTATTAACTGCTATAATGAGTAAATTCTTATTTATTGTTCATAATTCAATACTATAATTGTATAATAAATAATTTTTACTTAATATACATGAGAGTATTAAATGATAATTTTATTAACTATATTATTATTAAAATTTATTTGTAAATGAACTCATAATTAGATGACTCAAAAGAAAGTGTTTAATCTTAATCAATGGAAAGATATCTACAAGCAGAATCTGTAGGCAATTCTCTTTCTCCTTAAAGATAAGTATAGACATCTAGAAATCCTCAAGTTGGAACATCTATATTAAAATTGTAGAATGGAAAATATAGCAATTAATCTAATGTATTTAAAGACGCACTTAATAAAAAAAAAACTGAATTGCATAAGAAAACACAAAAACCTATTGTCGAAGCTCCTAAATATTAAATTGAAATTAAGTAAAAATAACCAAAAAGTATTACAATAATAATTTTAGAAATGGATAAAGTACAATAAAATATTAAAAATGTCTAACTTAAAGCAGAAGAAGTTAAGAAAAAGAGAGAAGAAGAAAAATAAAAAGAAGAAAAAATGAAATAGAGTAAAGTAGAACATCCTTAAGAAGATATTGATGAAGGTAATTTAATCATTTTTATTTTAGTATTTTAAGAAACAGTTAACAGATTATATAATTATGAAAAATAGAGATTGAAATAATTAAATAAAATGATAGAAGATGAAAAAAACAAAGAAAAATTAATTTTGAGTGCAAGACCTATGATAAATGAAAGAAGTTGTAAATTATTAGAAAGAAAACTAAAATAACTTGTAAATGAAGAGGAGGATTATAAAATGATATATTAATTTAAAGATGCAGATGTTTAGGTTGATCTATTACCAAATTTACCAAAATTGAAAGATTATCTATCTATAAAGTATTATCAATAATATATTAATAGTGCTAAAAAATCAATTAATATTGGATAAGAAATTTAAATCATAAAGGAAGAGAATATTATGGAACAAGTAGATCCAGCAGAAGATGTCTAATATAAATAGGATTCATGTCATGCAATTGTATAAACCAATGAAATTAAATTTAAAATTGGAGATACCATTAAAAAATAATAATAATAATAACCATAATCATAATAAACAACCTAATTTGCAACTCAAGATACTCCTAATAAAAAAGTATAAAATTAAAGATAAAAACGTTTGGATTTTATGGAAACTTAAGGACAAAGAATTAAAACTGAATGTTAATATTATGTACCTTTACATATTCGTTAATAAAAAGTAATTTAAAAAAAAGAAGAATGGGTTAAATCTTAGATTGAACTTAAAAAATAAAAGGAAGAGGAATCAATTAGAGCAGAATAAGAATAATGGGAAAAGGAAAAATTAAAGTGGTCTAAAAAGAAAGATCCAAATAAATCAATGTAATAGGAAATTAATATTGAAGAATTTGCTAATTCTTAAATACATTGGTTAGAAAAAAGAAATGAACATATTTTATCTGAATAAATGAAAAAGGATAAGGATATGTTATCCTCATTAACTTTTAAACCATAAATATAAAAAAGAAATATTGAAAATTACAATACTTCCAAAGTTGAAGATAGATTACTTGATTATTAATTAAAAAAATAAGAAAATTTACAAAAATTAGAAAATAAATACTTACCCACTTTTTAACCTAATATCAATTAAAAAACAGTATATAATATATATAATATATAGGTTCTTACTATGGATTGGGCATCAAAAAGTTTCAATAATACTTCTTTTAATAACCTGTGGCAATGATTTTATTTTTATTTCATTTAACTACAAACTAATATATAATAATTCATAATGTAATTTTTATAATAAACTATATTCAATATATTAATTTATTGTATTTCATATATTTTTGGTGATAATAAAATGTAAACAAAAATTATAAAACACAATAAACTAATAAATTTTATCATACATTATCGGATGCTATTTAAGGGGGAGATATTCAATAATTTATAGGCATTTGAATTTAAGATATTTCCTTATAATATTATCAAAAATGAAAACCATATTTATAGCCTTAATATTGACAACTTTTCTAGTCAGCGCGTGTTAAATATTTCAATAATAGCAACTTAATTAAGAGAGATATTTTAAAGATCAAGAAATTGCAACTAATTATTAATGCTCAAATTACGTAAGATTAAATAATCTAGTTGAATCAAGAATTCATTAAAAGACATACACAACTTCACCTAAGAATCAAGAATTGATAACATTATTCTATAAATTATTAACTATATAAGTATGATAACACAATTCTGTATGAACATCAATTTTATTCATTATATTTATACATTACTGTTTATTTCTTAATCTCGACCCAGTCTTAGTCTATTTTTCAAAGGCTTATTAAGATGAGACGAAGGGATGATAATTTACATATTAATAATAGATATAATATAGCATTAATCTAATAAAAAAAAATAAAATAAAATCTATTTTATAAAGTTGCTTCTATTCTATTCATCTCTATTTGTATTGTTTGTATATTTAATAGTACATCTTAACATAAATTGATATCTTTTGTAGATTAAATTCACTTCTAATCTATAGATTACAAAAATTCATAAGACTAATTAATATATTAGTCAAAATTTAGTAATAATTTATTATTTTATTCTGGTTCTTTGAAAATTATATAAATATTTCATTTGACTTTTTCAAGAATTTCTAATTTCTCTTAAAATGGTGCCATGATACCTTTTATTTTGTTAAAAAGAGGTTTAAGTAGTGTGCCAACAACCAAAGCTCCTTAAGTTTTTTCATGATAAAGCCAGACAGCATATATAGTCTTAAATAATGAGTATCCTGGAATCCTATTGGAATAGATACAAAAAATACATGAAAAATACTCCAAATGATATTTCTTCTAATAAATATATTGAGCTCATTAGAATCCAATAAACAACCCAAATTTATAGTTTCTCTTATAATTTATAAGCCTGATAAGTTGATCTCAATGGATAGATGATACATGCTATAAATTAAAACAGACAGCAATAAATACAGGCACTCATTATTTTAATATTAATAAATTAATATTATATTCAAGAAAAGCAAGAGCTAATTAATAAGTTAAAGAATATATTAAAATAATCAATAGAATAAGTTAAACTCAAAATAGAAACCTTTATACTTGGAATTGAGAAAAGATTTTAAGGAAAATATAAACATATTGAAATATTGAATGAGTTTGTAGAAAATTGATACTAATTGGTTTGAAAAAGATGTTAATAATCACAATAAATGTAATAAAAGAATCAGATGTGTAAATATTTTAAACATTGATTTAAAAAGGAATTTAAGCAATTCATTTATACATCAAATATGAATACAATTACATTTCTAAATTTTAAATTATATTAATAAATATTTATGAATTAATACACATCCATCTAGCAATTACAGCTATTTTTAGTTTTTGTTAAAATTTAAAGTGTTTTCTTAAAAGAAGTGCCAATCATTCAAAAATCTATCTTTATAGGATTAAGTTAAATATTTTAATGAGATTAATTAGTTTTGAAAGGGAATAGAATTGAGAATTTGATAAGGAGTGTATAAAATTGAGGAAGTATATTAAAATCTAAATTTAAGTGAGAGCAATTAATTTAGAGTTTATGAAAATACTAATCAATAAAAGTAATGGATCTGATTCAAGTCTAAGTTGAAAGTAACATTCTTTTCTTTATTCTTTGGTTTCTTAGGAACTCTTCTTACTAACTAGAAATTACTCCTAACATGATGGAGCATCATTATGGAGATTAAAACGATTAGAGTGACTATTGCAGCTATAAAATATTTGCTTAAGTAAGGTAATTACTCAGTTGAGTGGTTCCTATATATTTACCAAATTAGAAAGGGAGATTCCATAAAAATTAATTTATTTTATGAGTGAATTACAACAATATTAAGAAGACTTAGAAGAAGTTCAAGAATGGTTAAAAACAGCAAAAAGACCAAATAATATTGAGTATTTGAACAAAAGGATAAAATTCTTGAACGATTCTATTAAGATACTTCAACCATAAAAAGTTGAAAAAGATGAGTAGATTGAGTAACAGATGCCTTAGATAGATGAATTAAAGTTTGAGAAAATAACTAAATATGCTTTTGAGTAGGAGGAGAATAAGATAAAGATAATTATCAATATGGATGGTGTAGGTGAATTACCTCCTAAAAATATACAAGTTGAGTTTGGGAAGAATTGCTTTGATGTTCGAATTATAGGGTATCATAATGCAAATCATAGGTAATAATATTTAATAATGAAGGTTACAAATTATAAAAACATTTGGTGAGTTTCTTGATAAAATGAGTAGCTTTAAGGTAACAAAGAATAATATTCATATTACATTGATTTTACCTGACAAAAAATAATGGACTCAAATTAAAACTACAGAAAATCTTGTAAAAATTTAAATTAATTAGAGATCGATCAAAAAAAAGAGTAAAAAGAAAAAAAGAAATATGAAAAGGATGGACCATTAGATGACAATGTAAAAGGAGTTTTAGGTATGATGAAGGAACTTTATGAGAGTGATGATCCTGAAATGAGAGAAACTGTAAGGCAATTTATGAGGAAGACAGCCAATTAGTAGATGTGGAAGAATTGATTTTATTAATAAAAACATAAAAATTTACATTTATTATAAATGATTTATATGAATTTAAAGATAAGAAATAATATATCAAATGAATAATACAATCTTTAGAGATGGAATAAAATAGATATTTTGAGTTATTACTAAATTTTAGATAAATAATTAATCAATGTTTAAATAAATGAAATTATGCTAAAAGTTTTAAATTTATAAGAAGAAGAAAGAAAAAAATAAGACTAAATAATGAAGAATTAGATTTTTTTGAAAGAGAAAAGCAGTGAGAATGCAATAAATACATTTAAATTTTTATAATAAAATAGAAATTATTAAATAAATTAATGCAAATTTAAATGAAAATTAAATTATATTAATGAAATCATTAGTCTAAAAAAAAAGGTTATTTGAGAGAACCCAAGAATTATAGGTTTTGTTTAAGGACTAAATAATTTTAAGTTTTATATATTTAAAATTCAAAAAGGAATAAACATTATTTATCAATTTAAAAATAAATTATTTAAAAACTTATTTATTAAATCAAAAGATTAATGGACTATAAATCAATTAAATAGATTCTTTCAGAAGGAGAAAAAATTCATATAACTATAATAAATCGAATAAGTTTTTTACATAATAGGAGATGATTCAAAAAATTTGATTTGGGAACTTAAAAAGTAAATTTTTTTGAACAAGATTTAATTGATAAATTATTTTTCAAGAACATCTTCTATAAAAATGAATTAAATTTCTTTAGAAAGATGAGGGATTTCTTAAATTTATATGTTGAATCCTTTAAATAGTAAGAATACACTAGGTTAATGTACATATCCTATAAATTACTATAAATATTACATGCTTAAAAAATAAAAAATCATTTTAAGTTTAGAAAATAATCAAGACAAATTTATATATACCATTAATAGATTAGATACATTAAAGATATGAAACATTAATTTATTGAATTGAAATCATATTTGGAATGAAACAACTATATCAAATTGATATAATTAAATCATGATAAAAGTAAATGAACGTAAAACTTTACAAGAAGAAGGCAATCAAATTACTAAAAATATACTGACATTAAAAGTTTAGAAATAAATATTACATTAATGTTCATTAGTGAAGATAGGCTTTTCGTTTAGAATATCTCCAATCATTTGTGATTTTTATTATTGATAGTAAAAAATTTAAATTATTAAAGAAATAACATAAAATAAGTTAAAAACTATTTATAACTGTTTCAAACAAATAAGGATTTTTATTAATTATTATTTTAGGGTGTTGAATCATATATAATCTCATAAGAATATGATTTTTTTAAGTATTTTTTTTATGAATAAAATTATTGAATGATAAAAGAATATATTCATTTGAAACAATTATTGAGAATCACTCAGTGCCTATTGACACTTATGTAATTTCAAGGAGACTTTCCCTTAAAATAGGGAATGCCTAACTAAAGTGTTTATCATTGTATAAGTATTCTATAATTTCGGAAGCTTCCTGCATTAATTTTATTTTTTATGATTAACTTGCATCTATATATAGTTTTTGTTTAATTTAAAGTAAAGTTCTAATTCGTTCTTGTAAGTATTCACCTAAGGAGTGAGTGTCTCCAACCAATTCTAAATATAGTGATAACCGTTGACAAGTGAAATCCAATTTTTATGATTAAAGTCTTTCACTTATAGTCCAAGTGTTGTTTTTTATTCTTTGTTTAGAAGTTTGACAAGTTCCCATTTAAATTCCTAGTTTTATTTTTTTTAGATTAAATTTATTTATTAATACTAAATTATTAAAAGGCTTTTTGAATTTAATTCAACTTCTTTTCTAGTCAAATAATTTATTTTTCTTATGATACTAGAAGAACAAAAGCCCTTCACAACTGAAGAACTCTATGAATATCGTAAAGTCCTAGTGGACTGGAAATGGAGAGGTCCTGATGCAATATACTTTGTTCTAGGCTAATTATGCGTAAATACAATATATTCTATCATTCTAGAAGGGAACCCTAGAAAGAGAGGCGATTGTCCAAAGCAAAATTTATAAGAGTGTCTATATCCTTAGGGAGTCTATAAGGAAAGCTCCCTCAACTGATATGGCATTATATAATAAGGATTAAATCGCCAATATTTTGGTCTAAATAATTCACTTAGTTTTAGTTAAAACTCAAGTCCATTCATAATTAGATCAAAGAAATAATTTCTAAGCCCCCTAAGCGAGAAAATAAAAAGACCATATTTTCTGTTGCCAAATATGTATTTTACTTAAAGGATTTTAATTTTTAGTCAGATAATATTCAAGGAAATCAATCCAATATTTAACTTGGTGATTATTTACCTTAAGAATAGAGAGATAAGATCAAGGCAAAATTATCAGAATATCTACAGAAATAAATTTAATAAAAATAATAATAAGAACTATTTTAAATGGAAAATTTGTAATAATACTTAACTACTAGATAGAATTGATAAATGTAATAAGTTAGCTGATGCTCTTGAAAACAGTTTATACAATAAACATTATTAAACAGTAGCACCAGGAAAAAATTATAGTTCTGATTTAAAAACTTTATACTAAGTATAATTAATACTTAAATAAAGTATTTGGGTAAAGATAAATCAGGAAAAGTGATACACAAATTACTTGAAGGGTTTTTTACAGTGAATTAAGCATGTTAATTATAATTAAAGGATTGGTTAGATGAAGAAGTTATTAGAGAATTAGAGAATAGAAAAATTGTAATTAAATTTTACTATATAAATATTAGTCTGAAATGAAAGATGATGATGCAGATTATTATAGATAGATTCGTATAAAGGAAATGACTCAATCAAAAGGTTAAGAATGTCCAAGATGTCATAATAATTATTTATACATTATTGAAACCAAATAAATTAGAAGAGCAGATGAACCAGCTACAATCTTCTATGAATGTTTTGCTTGTTAACATAGATACAAAGTTTGAGTATTTCAATTAAAATTATAATTTTGTTCTTTTTATAATTGTATAAATATCTTTGTAACCAAATACTCTTGTAATTAAATTAAATAAAAAACTAGACTATCATTATGAATAATTAAAAAGATATAAGTAAATATAAATATGTTTATCATTTATTTATTTAGATTACTTTTTTTTCAACAGATTTAATAACACCAACTGCAACAGTTTATTTCATATCTCTTACAGCAAATCTTCCAAGTGATGGATATTCAGAAAATACTTCTACACAAAAGGGTTTAGTTGGTATTAATTTAACTATAGCACAATCTCCAGATCTAATAAATTTAGGTGCTTCTTCTATTATTCTACCTGTTCTTCTATCAAGTTTAGATATTATTTAATCAAATGTACATGCAACATGTGCTGTATGGCAATCCAAAACTGGACAATATCCATTTGAAATTTTATCAGGATGATTTATTACAATCAATTAAGCAATAAATGAAATACATTCCTTTGCTGGATCATTCGTATAATCAGAAGCAACATATCCTCTTCTTAAATCTTTAATTGATACATTTCTCACATTAAAACCTATATTATCTCCTGGAGTTGCATCTACAATACCTCCATGAAATGTTTCTATTGATTTTATTTCAGAGATTATTCCAGATGGAGCAAACTGAATAATCATACCTGTTTTTAATACTCCAGTTTCTACTCTTCCTACAGGAACAGTTCCAATACCACCTATTTTATATACATCCTATAATGGAAGTCTAAGTGGTTTATTTAATGGTCTTTAAGGTGGTGTTATTAAATCTAATGCTTCAAAAAGTGTTGGACCATGATACCATTATAAATTGAATGATTTTTATAACATATTCTCACCATTCCATCCAGAAATAGGAATAAATGGAATTGCGTTTGGATTGTATCCTACTTTATTTAAGTATATTTTCAACTCATTTACTATTTCATCATATCTATCTTTTTAGTAATTTACTGATTTCTCATCCATTTTATTTATTCCAATTATTAATTATCTAACACCAAGTGTATTAGCCAATAATATATGCTCTTTAGTTTATCCATTCTGAGACATACCAACCTCAAATTCACCTGCAGTTGAGGCAATCATTAATAAAGCTACATCTGCTTATGAAGTTCCTGTTATCATATTTTTTAGAAAATCTCTATGACCTGGTGCATCAATCACTGTATATTTATATTTATTTGTTTCAAACTTCTACAATGAAATATCAATTGTAATTCCTCTCTCTCTTTCATCCTTAAGATTATCCAATACCCAAGCATATTTAAATGATTGTTTTCCAATTTTATTTGCATCGTCTTCATATTACTTGATAGTTTTTTCATCTATACCACCTAACTTATAAATTAGATGTCCTATTGTAGTTGACTTTCCAGAATCAACATGTCCTATAACTACTAAATTTATATGAACTTTATACTTTGCCATTTATATTTATTAATCACTTTAACTAAACTATTCTAATCATTTAAAAATCAAAAAGTAAAGTTTAATGACTATATTAAATAAATTTTATTACATTATATTTTTATAACACTAATTTAAATATTTTCATCGTCTTTAATGTCTTTTTCATCTTATCATATTTCAATAATTATTAGCAAAATCTGTCCATTCTTCTAATTTAACATAAATGCTTTATTATGATTAAAAATAGAAAATAAAATATTATTTTTAATTCTATAAATTTTATTTTATTAAAATTGATTGACAAAAGATTTGAAGTCTACGAAAAACTCTTATTAGATGATAGATCCAGATAAATATATGAGAATTCTATAGTATCTATAACAGAGAAATTTCCTAACAATGTTGGTTTTCAATATTTTGCAATAATCAACGAATTTCTCTTTTTATTTTATTTTACTTTAAGATTTAATATAACAGATATATCATATTCATAGATACATTCCAAATGATGAATCAAATAGTCTTTCTAAGAAATCTCTTAAATGATAAGCACGATAATGAGAAGTTATTTAGTGAAATGGTTTTTTAATTATAAAAAAATTATTATTACAATCTACCCTATGGTATAGCAAATTTTAACACTTTGTAATGTGACGATAAGATCTAAGAATAGATATCTGTACAATATTATCTAAAATTATCTTACTAAATTAAGTTAAAAAATATAAAATTGAGTATAAAAATATTTTTAGCAATATTCAATAATTAAAACTCTTTATTTTCTAATAATATTGGTTGTCCTCAAAGGGTTACTCACTTTTTATTTTAAGGTATAGTAAATAATGATAGTTTAAAATATAATTAGATTATTGAGTTGTTATATATTATATTGATTCTGATAATTTAACTCCAATAGGACATATATTTTATTATTTATGTCTAATAGATGAAAAAATTATAAAAAAATATGAAAATGATACAGATAAAATTGGAAATGAGATCATTTAATAAATAAGTTGAATATAACAGTAAAATACATTATTTTCAAATAGGATTAGAAATATGTGAAAAAAACAAAAAAAATTATGATAGAAAACTATTGATCATATAAGATGTAACACAGATAAATATATATAATGAAAAATTTAATATATTTTTATAAATAATCTATCTATTCTGCATTTAATATTCCCAAATCATAAAAATCGATCATTCCTTACATAAGGTTGATACCTAAGTTAATAATAGATATATACATTGATTATTATTAATTAAATGATGGTGGTGTAAATGTTTACTATTGAACATATTAAGATACGGATGGTTTTTTCAAAGGTGATGTTTATTCAATGTACTAAGGGTTTGGAGAGAATGGTTATGAAAAAGTTGGTTATTTCTAAAATTATGATTATTATAAAGATAATGATGGAGGTTAAACTTAATTGATTTGATTATATTAGCTAAATTGCGATTGGAATTAAGGATTTTATTAAGATGTTTGATAATATTAATTGAGTTAAGAATTATCTAATTATGAATTCTGAATTGGTTGAATAATGGATGGTATTCCTGGTTATGGATGAAATGAGGCATTTGAGGATGACAAAATGGGAACATAAGGATCAACAGTTTAATAAGGATTGCATTTGGACATAACTTCTCTACTTTTTTGAAGTGCTCTTTATATAATAGGATCCATATCTAAGAAATTTGGTTGATAAGGATTTTAAATATTTTAATTAGGTATTCTATAAGTATCACTTTCATCTTAATGAGTAAAAGTGGTAGGTACTGTAGCTGCTTATTATTAATGAACTTCTCCTTTCATTAATTAAAATCTTTCTTTTAGTTATCTTATTTTATCCAATCCTTCTTAAGTAGTTAATGGAGTTAATTAATGATTTGATTCATATTTTGAATGAGTAGCAATTTCAAAATCATAATTTTATTTATTGACTTCAGTAATATGAGCAGATTCTAGATTGGCTTAGAAATTAGATGTAACTTATCTATTAAATGAATCATTTATAAGATTATGCTCTTCATAAAGAGATTAAGGTTAACTTTCTATAATTTATTCTTAAGTGAAATTAGATTAATTTTTATAATGTAATGTTGATTTGATAGCTTAATCTTACATATTTAATGCATATAAATTAGGAGATATTCTACTAGAATCTACATGAGATATTTTATCTAATATTTCAAGATAAGTAGGTCTATGATAGGTGTTAAGTTGTAATAAATCTTTTAGTAAATGCTTCATTGGATCAGAATAATTGTACTTATCAAATGCACTATTCAATTTTTAATTAGCTAATTCTGAATTAAAAGTAAAATTATTATAATATTTTTTAACATCCATATTAGTTATACAAACCAAGAAAATAACACCAAGTATAAATACATTTTGTTTTTCAATAGAATATTCTTATTTATCCTTAAATTCTAAATAATGATAATTACATTTTAACGTTCATTTTCTAATACATACAATTGCTCAGGAGAAAGATATTCAACTTCTCTTAATTATGTAAAGACTTTTTAATATGCACTTTATTAATTAGCTAAGCAACATAATTCTAATAATTTAATTTCACCATTTAGTTTAATCCTTATATTGTTTGGATGTAAATCTTAATATTGAAGATTATTCATTTAAAGATCTTTTAATCCAGATAGTATGGTTTATGTTAAATACCAAAGTTCTCCCTCATTATAACTATATTAATTATATTATTATTTAATACGTTCTATCATTAGCTCTTCTATTTAAGATGTCATCTTAAAGACTTTTTTCTAAATATTCAATTCCAACATGTAATAAATTTATATTACTACATAAATCCTCAGTTGTTTGTACTTAATAATCTAATATTTTTGTAAAGTATTGATTATTTTATTATTTTCTACATTACTTAATTATTTACCTCATTTGAATTAAGTTAGCCCTCTTTTCCATATCAGATTGATCGTAAAATTTTATAAGTGCCATCTAATCAGTTCGTTTGATCTTATTGCTAAATAATTGAATTTCTCCATATCCATCATCTTAAGCTACATTGAGAAAATTGTATTCATTTAATATTTCCAAATTTTATTTTGAGCTGTTAGCTCCCATTTATAAATTATTTATTATATTTAATAAAAACACTATTGTTTTGATTTAAAAAAATAAGAGATCATATCAATTTAATTTAGTCTAAATCATTTTTAAGTATATATCTGACTATATCAATTTTATACTTACTATCAATATTACAATAAAAATCAAATTCAATATTGATATAAGTAATATTATCATATATTATATTAACAAATTTATAAAGATACATCAATATACTGATTGATAAGGGTGTGGAAATTAATTTAATATTATAATTAATGATAGTATTCATTTTATTAACAATAATATATTCGAAATAGGTCTCCTTCCTTAGACATGGTATCAGATCACCAAATGATTATAATGAATAAGATAAAGAACTATGGGGAGACTATCCTTAAGGATATTTGACATAAAAAGGATTTGATTAAGTGAAATAGATGGCAAATAATAATTTTACAATTCATGATGGTAGTGGTATTTGTAATTATGATTCATTTCATATGATATCATCAGCTAAACCAAGAGTTATACATTCTGTAATTGCTTTTATTTAAGGATTATGTCCTTAAAATTATAATGAAATTCTGGTACAATATTTTAGAGAATATTATGAACAATATTCTACAGATCCATAGAATTTCAATAAAATAATAAATTCTAATTTCAGTGAGCCTTTTTCATTAAATTTTGAAACATTCAAAATGAAAAATGATTTTATGTTTCATGGACATAAAAGTGAATAATGTCCATTAATGGATGTTCTTGATGATGCTATCTATAGTAGTTCAGAATATAATGAGATAAATAAATAAGTTAGATAACATTCATAATTCAACAATACTTTTAAGTTATTTAAAATGTGTAATCCAAATTCAAATGTTACATAAGATAGTATTACAATTACATAATTAAAAAAATTATATTCAAATATTTTGTGTAATGAAGCATAAGGTTTATATGATTACAAATTAAATTAAGAATAAGTTGAATATTTGATGAATATTTTTAAATTTTAATATTTTGGAATAGATTATTCATAACCACTTTAACATTAAGCAACATTATCATATATATTAAAATGGTTATTTTAAGAATTCTATAGTGAAGTAGAAGAAAGTTTCTTTTATGGACATGATGATAATCAATATGCTTTATTATCAGTTATTACAAAAGAATGGCCTTATGTTAAATTTGCTGGTAGGTTGTAATTTAAGATTAATAATGATGATTAAATTAATGTATTTTTAGATGATAGATTACTTATTACTAATTTCTGTAATGAAGGAGTTAATTGTAAATTAAGTGATAGTATTAAATATCTAAATAAATATATTAATCCAAATATTGAAAGAGATTGCTAATTGATTATTTGATTTATAATATTAAATACATAATTTATTTGTGCATTTTATTACAATGAAAGGACCTGTAATTATTATAAATCTTATTGTAGTTTCTATGGGGATTTGTTTATAAATCATTATTCAATTTTAGAAGTAAGATGGTAATGTTTCTATACTAGAGCCTTCTTTTAAATTTTTACATAGTCCATTTAGTTTAAATAAGGATGATTTAATTAAAAAGTCTGTCAATATTCCAGATCATAAATTTGACTTCCAACCCTTTATCTAACCTGATGCTTCATTTCTTGTGAATCAATAAAATATTTAAAACTTGCGTTTATTATAAAAAGAATTTGCTTCAGATCCTCAAAATCCTGAAAAAGCATTCAAGTACATTAGATAATTAAATCGTATGTAATTATATGATGAAGCACTTCGTATATTTAAATAAATAGGTAGGATATATTTATTATAATTAGATGACTTTCGTGAAAATGCTACACAAAAATAACATCAATAATTATAAGAATAATATGGTATTGCAGTAACAAATTTGAAATCTAATTAATATGGAGACAAACGTAGATCATTACTACTTCCAGGAATGATCTAATTATTAATAACTGCAGCTATTCTTTATTAAATGATGTATTTCTTCTAACCTGGTTAATCTAAATCTAAAAATGAGAAAAATTAGAAAGATGTTCCTGAATAAGGAGCTGGTAGAATTGATCGTTTTTATAATATTCTACGCAACAATTAAACAATCTAAGAAGAAAGAAATATACCTACACGTTTTAATGATGTTTTGGGAATAGATGAATTTAAAGAAGAATTAGAAGAAATTGTAGAATTCTTAAAACATCCTAAAAAGTATACTGATTCAGGAGCAAAATTACCAAAAGGAATATTATTAGTAGGTCCTCCAGGAACAGGTAAAACACTTTTAGCAAGAGCTTTGGCAGGTGAAGCAGGTTGTGCATTTTTTTATAAATCTGGATCAGAATTTGATGAAATGTTTGTTGGAGTAGGAGCTTCACGTGTTAGAGATATATTTAAAGCTGCAAGATAAAAGGCTCCTTCAATAATTTTTATAGATGAAATAGATAGTATAGGAGGTAGAAGAAGAGCATAAGATCCTGGTTATTCTAGAGATACAATTAATTAAATATTGACAGAAATGGATGGATTTAAATAAAGTGAAAGTGTAATTGTTATTGGGGCTACAAATTTTGAATAGGTATTTTAATAATATAATTATAAGGTTCTTGATCCTGCTTTAAAAAGACCAGGAAGATTTGATAAAATGATTCATGTACCATTACCTGATGTTAAAGGTAGGGAATAGATATTTTCATATTATTTATAAAAGATTAAATATGATATTCAAAAAGTATTGCCATCTAATTTGGCAAGATAGACTAGTGGATTTAGTGGAGCTGATATTTAAAATATGGTGAATGTAGCAATTTTAAATGCTATTAAATATGATAGATAAATAGCAACAACTGAAGATTTTGAATTTGCAATTGATAGAATAGCCATGGGAGTAGGTAGAAAGAATATGCATGTTAGTGATAAAGAAAAATTGATGACTGCTTATCATGAAGGTGGACATGCCTTAACTAGTTTATTAACTGAAGGAGCTATGCCACTTCATAAAGTTACAATACTTCCAAGAGGTGGAGCTTTAGGATTTGTATTTATATTAATCTTTATTTTATTTAGACTTCAATGCTTCCAGAAAAGGATTAACTTAATTATACTAGAAAGGGAATTATTGCATCAATTGATGTTGCTATGGGTGGTAGAGCAGCTGAAGATTTATTTTTGGGAAAAGATGATATTACTAGTGGATGTAGTAATGATTTAGCTAAAGCTACTGATTTAGCTTATATGTTTGTTAAACAATTAGGAATGGATGATAAAATATCATTGATTTCAATTTAAAGTGATAGAGTGAAAACTAGTGATCAATTTGATTATATGGTAGATATGGAAGTTAAAAAAATATTAGAAGTATCATTTTATTTATAATTCTATAGGAATCATATAATAGAGTCAAAAATTTATTAAAAGTTAATGAATCCAAACTCAAGGATTTGGCTACAGAATTAGTAAAGAGAGAGACACTCTCAGCTGAAGAGATCAAAAAGTTATTATAAATTAATTGAATATAATTAAAGTGATTATACATTTATATAATAATTTTGTAAAAAATAATAAATTTTTTTAAATTATGGGTCACGAAGCCGAATCCAATATAACAACAGAAGGCTCCTAGATATAAGATTCATTATACAGAGATGAAGAGAAAATGGAAGAATCAGCGAATGTAGCATATTTACTTACTTTGGGTATACTCTTAGGTCTGGCTTTGAGGGAATTGAACAAGAAAACCAAGTAATACAACAAAAATAATATATAGATTTCCTTATTCCCCTATGGTCTTAACTTGTGGATTATTGATAGGTTTATTATAAAGTTCTCTTGGATATTTGGGAGAAAGTGCAAGTATCTTGAGTCATATGCATCCACATTTAATTGTTTATGTCTTTGTTCCTGTTTTATTATTTGAATCAGCATTCAATTGTGATTGGTATATATTCAAATACTAAATTGTTAATATTTTACTATTGGCTGGTCCTGGAGTTGGTTGGGTATTTTATTATAATATTAATTAGGGAGCAATTCTTTTAGGAATAGTATTCAAATTGTTCTTATTCTATAGTGATGAAGATATGAATTGGTATTAGGCATTCACTTTAGGATCTGTGTTATCTGCAACAGATCCAGTAGCTGTTGTTGCTTTACTAAAAGAATTAGGTGCTAGTTCTGCATTTAATCATTTAATTGAAGGAGAAGCATTATTAAATGATGGAGTGGCAATGGTTTTTTTTATATTTTTCAATAAACTATCTAAAGCTGCAGCTGGAATTGGTGGAGGTGTTACTTTTGGTGGAGTTCTATTAAACTTTTTTAGGAATTCAATAGTTGGTCCTATTTTAGGAGTAGTAGTAGGATTTTTTGGAGCATTATGGGCTAGAAGAATAGTTGGAGATGATGTTGAAGTAGGTTGGTTAACATTTATATTCACATATCTAACATTTTATTGGGCTGAGTTTTGTTTCTTTAAAACTAGTGGATTATTGGCTGTTGTATCTTTGGGTTTGTTTTGGAGTGCATTTGGTAAGACTAAAATAAGATCAGAGAGTGAACATGCTGTTCATACAGTTTGGAGTTTTGTTTAATATTTTTGTGATACAACTGTTTTTCTATTAGTAGGTATGATAGTTGGAACAGAAGTTATTGAAGAAAGATATATTTATACATCTGATTATTTCAGAATGATTGTGTTTTATTTCTTTATGATATTATGCAGATACTTAATGGTTATATCATTTTGGCCATTACTTAAGAGATATGGTTATCCAATGTCATAACCAGAATTGATAGTATTTGTTTATGGAGGTCTAAGAGGAGCTTTGGGTTTAACACTTTCATTGATGGTTGGATGTGATCAAGATTTACCACCAAGATTTAGACATTTATCAGTATTCTTTACTGCTGGAATGGCTGCTCTTACTAATCTTGTAAATGGAACTACTTGTAAAGCTTTGGTGAACTATTTAAACATGATAGAGAATCCAGTAATTAAAAAGAGAGTATATAAACGTTATTTAACTGATATGATTGTTAATTAAGAAGATACAATAAAAGAATTGGAAGGGGATGAACATTTTGCAATGGCTGATTGGAATCATGTCAAATCACTTGTAGGATCACAATAATTTTTATAGGAAGTAGTTTAATTAGAGAATGAAATTAAATAAATTTAAGGTGGAAATATGAGTAGAATATCTTATGAAGGATTAACTGACACTGATACTTTTGGAGAGGTTAGATATAGAGTACTTAGAATTCTTAAGGGATTATATTATTCATAATTTGAACATGGACAATGTGATGAAGATTCTGTTAGATTATTAGTTGAATCAAGTGATGTTGCACTTGATCATACAGGATCTATTTTAAATATTTGGGAATAATTATTCAATAGCTTTACTAGTTTTAGTAGTATCAAGTATTTCTTCAAAGCGAAAGAATGGACATTTTTAGGTGGATATGCTTAATAATACATTACTAAACATTTAGGATTTGTATATGATGTAACAACAACATTTATATCTTGTGCTAATGAAGTACTAACATTACAAGAACATATGCCTATGAATAAGAATGCAGTTAGATTGATTATGGATGAAATTAGAACTGAAATCAATAAAGCTGAACTCTATTTAGGTACTTTAACTGACACATTCCCAGAAGTCATTAGAGCTATTCAAACTAAAAGAGCTTCACATACAGTTCTTATGCATTAAAGACATCATCTTGAAGAAAATTAAAAGAATGGTCTTGTAGATGATAAAGAATTCAATTAATTAAAAAGTAATATTGATGCTCGTCTTGTTTAACTTGAAAATCATGTATTTGATTGGTAAATTCCAACTTTCCATTCTTTTGCTATGGAATTTCCAATATTTGCAGGTGTACCTAAAGAGGAATTAGATACAATTATTAAATCCACATATGAGAAAAGATATCAAACAGATGAAATTATTTATGAAAAAGGTATGACCTGTTAAAATATATACATTGTCTAAAAAGGAAATGTTATAGATGAAGTTGGATCTCATTAAATAAAAAAAGGATTAGGATCATTATTATCTTATGTTAATCTTATAGGAGATGGTAAATGCATGACAACTTCTAGAGCAGCATCTGAAACAGTACTACATTCATTAAATTTGAATGTTCTTAAGTCTTTGATGTAAAAGTCAGAAGCTTTTGAATAGAAAATATATGTCAATTCTATAGGTAAATATTAGTATATTTTTTAGAATATCTAATAAAATTATATTAATCTTAAGCTGGACCTTTGGGATAAATGGAATAAAAACGTTTAAATCTATTCCTTAGACAAAAGGCTTAATTCAAAAAGTTCGATGTTCATTCAAATGTTGAATTCATGTTTGGAGGTTATATAATTAAAGGGGAAATATAAAGTTGTATTCAAGATGAGAGTGAAGGCATAGAGAGATATAATGAATATTGGTAATTATTGAATATATGTTTAGTTATGTACCACCTAGAGAAAATGATTTTAATGTCATAAAACCACTAATATGTTTGGTGTTTGATGATGCGATTGATGTGATAAAGTAGGATAGATTGGAATAATTTAATTTAGAGAATCATGAAGAAGTAATAGAGCAAAGATTTTCAAGAATTGATGTTCAATAGAAATATTAATAATAAGAATTATGAATAAAATATGATATTCAATAAAATATTAATATTCTGATTAAAATTTATATATGGATTATATAAAATTGTTACATATCTTTTTTGTTAAGACAATATAAAAATCATATTAAAGTCCATCCATAAATCGTATTATTTATTAATGTCTTCAGATGAATTGGGTAGTGAAAATGAAAATTATGATTCAATACAAAAAGACTCTTTATGGAGAGATGAACATAAGATGGAAGAATCAGCATAAATTATACATTTCTTAGTTTTAGGTCTCATTTGTGGACTTATCTTGAGGGAATTAAATAAAAAGACAAAGTATTACAATTTAACATAATTTAGCATCCCTTATTCACCTATGATACTTGCTCTTGGTTTGGCTATTGGTCTTTCATAGGAATATTTAGGAAAAATAGGGAATAGTGCCTACATCTTATCTAAAATGCATCCTCATTTGATTGTGTTCATATTTATTCCAGTTCTCTTGTTTGAATCAGCATTTAACTGTGACTGGTACACTTTCAAGTATTAAATTATTAATATCTTGCTTTTGGCAGGCCCTGGATGTGGATGGGTAATTTTATATATTTATATAAAAGGGAGCTATATTGTTGGGAGCTTGTTTTAAGATCATTCTTTAATATAGCGATGATGATATGAATTGGTATGAAGCATTTACTTTGGGATCAGTTTTATCAGCTACTGATCCTGTAGCAGTTGTTGCACTATTAAAAGAATTAGGAGCAAATCCAGCTTTTAATCATTTGATTGAAGGGTATGAATTAGATGTTATATTTTAGAGAGGCATTGCTTAATGATGGAGTTGCAATGGTTTTATTTAATGTTTTTAACAATATATCAAAAGCTTCAAGTGGCAAAGGAGCAGCAGTAAGTGGAGGTGATATAGTGGTAAGTTTCTTGAGAACATCACTTCTTGGACCAGTAATGGGTCTAATTTTAGGAGTGCTAGTTGCTTTGTGGACTAAAAGAATATTAGGTGATGATATTGAAGTAACTTGGTTGACATTCGTATTTACATATTTTACATTTTATTGGGCTGAATTTGAATTTTTTGAGACAAGTGGACTTTTAGCAGTAGTAGGTTTAGGTTTGTTTTGGTGTGCTTATGGAAGAACTAGAATAAGGGCTTCAGTTGAACATTCAGTTCATGCAGTTTGGGGATTTGTCTAATATAGTTGTGATACACTAGTATTTTTATTGGTAGGAATAATAGTAGGTATAGAAATAATGGAAGAGAAATTAATAGAGAGTTCAGATTATTATAAAATGATTGGATTCTATTTCTTAATGATATTGGCTAGATTTTTAATGGTTTTAACATTCTATCCATTCCTAAAATGTAATATTAATTATATTATTATTTTTAAGGTTTTGGATATCCAATATCAAAGTCTGAATTGATTGTCTTAGTGTATGGAGGATTAAGAGGAGGTTTAGGATTAACACTTTCATTAATGGTTGGTTGTGATGAAGATTTACCTGCTCGTTTTAGACATTTAGCTGTATTTTATGCTGCAGCTATGGCCTTAATAACAAATATGATAAATGGAACTACATGCAAAACTTTAGTGAAATGTGTTAAAATGATAGATGAACCAATTGTTAAAAAGAAGGTTTATAAGAAATATTTAGAAGAATTGATTGTAATTCAGTAGGATTAAATTAAAGAATTGGAGACTGATGAATTTTATAATATGACTGATTGGATGACTGTTAGTAATTTGATTGGACAATAAGATTTTATTGAGAAAATTGATAAAGTTGAATAAGATATAAAGCATATAATTTAAAAGAAGGGATTTTAAGAGATGGTTTATGAAGGATTACCTAATTAGGATATTTTTGGAGAAGTTAGATATAGAGTCTATAGAATTCTTAAAGGATTATATTATCATAAATATGAAGAAGGTCTTGTAGAAGAATAAACTGTGAGAATGTTAGTAGAATCAAGTGATGTTGGATTAGATAAATTAAATGATAATCTTGAAATTTGGGATGAATTATATAAGAATTTTATGAATCTCTGTAGTGTTAATTTCTTTTTTAAAGTGAAGTAGAAGTTTCTAATAGGATATTTTGCCAGGGAATACTTAATTAAACATCTTGGATTGGTTTATGATGTGACTTCTTCATTTATTATATGTGCAGAAGAAGCATTGCATTTGGCAGACAATTTTCCTCTGAATAAAGAAGCCATCTCTATTATTTAAGAAGAATTAAAAAAAGATATTGAAAAAGCACAAAATTACTTTGGTACTCTTAATGGAAGTTTTCCTGAAATTGTTAGAGTTCTTCAAACAAAAAAGGCATCCTTCTCTATTTTAACTCATTCCATTGAACATCTTTAATCTACTTAACGTAGAGGACTTATTGATGATAAAGAATATAAGATCCTATTGAAAGATATTAACAATAAACTTGTAAAATTAGAAAGTCATTCATATGATATGAGTCTTCCCTCTTTTCATGTTATTGCAATGTAATTCCCAATCTTTTAGGAAATCTCTTTAACTGATTTGGATATCATTAAAAAGGTTGCTATAGAAAAGAAATATGCTTTAGGATAAGTTATTTATGCTAAAGGTGATGAATGCAGTGAAGTCTATATTATCATGAGAGGTTATGTTGTAAATGATTTTAATGGAATTCTTATTACTAAGGGTTTAGGATCTTTGATAACTCACTAAAGTCTTATTGTAGATGGTGTACATATGAGTATGGCTAAAGCAGCTGTTGAATCTTAATTATATGCCTTACCAACAAAAGTTGTAAAAGAAATTATGATTAGAAATAAAGAATTTGAATTCAAGGTTTATTTACATTCTTTAGGTATTTTATTATTTTTATTTATTTATTAGAATATATTAGAAAATGGTATGAAAGTTAAGTTGGTCCTATTGCTTAGATGGATTTAAAGAGATTGAATGAGTTCTTAAGAAATAAATGTAGACTTGTCAAACTTTCAACTCTATCTTAAACTGAATTTATTCATGGAGGCTTCTTGTTTTCTGGCCAATTATAAGATTCTAAAAGTAATGCCTTTAATAAATATGAGTAAGTCATTATTTTTATAATATATAAGTTATATACCTCCTTCTGAAGGGCTTTTTACTGCTGCAACTAATGTGACATGTTTTGCCTTTGATGAACCAATTGAAGTGCTTTAACAAAAACGAATGAAGGAACTAAAATTAGATAGTCAAAGAGATTAAGAAATTCACGAAAAATATTCAGAGATTAAGAGAAATTCAATTATGGAGTTGAGCAAAATAAATATTACATGATTAATTTATTTTATTCAATTTTAACTTCAAAATACAATTTTAGTAATAAAAAAATCAGAATCATTTTATTTTTATAATTTATTTAAATAATTAATATGGTGAATAGGGTATATTAACATAAAAATAGAATATAATTGTAGGTATCAACAAATAAGTATAAATAATCAGGTTGTATTATATTGTTGTCATTTTTATGAATTAGGTTAAATAATACATAATAAAATTATAAAAAATAATTAATATTTTATACTTAATCAATTAAAAAAAATCTTTTTTATACAATAATATAGATATACCTATAATAATTATGATGAATTAATCAATAAAATTTATAAAACAATTTTTTAAAAAAGATTTTCATATAAATTATATATTATAATAATATTGTTAATCTATAAAAGAAAGATCTAAATATATCCAACATAAATTAATCATAATCATACAATATTACTCAGTTTTGTTTCTTATTTTTTGCAATTTCTGCATCTAATCTTTATTTTTCTTTTTCATGTTCACGTCTTTCGAAATATGGTTAAATGTATTTTCTATCCAAAAAGCAATAAGTTTGATAAATTATAAATACCACAAACCCATAACCCATACATGATCTCATGTAATCAAAAAACCACCATGCTATATTCATCCCAAATACAAGCACAATTAAAAATGAATATCTATATAAACCTTTTTACAATTTTTAATCATATTTTTCCAAACGATCATGATAATGGATTATTATTTTTTTATATTTCTCATTTGTTTCATTAATACAATCTTCATCTTCATATAATGATACTTCATTAATCCATTTATCCTTATAATAGTTGTAGTAATATTGATTATACACAATTCTAAATAATTTAAAGAATCCTAGAATAGAAGAATATGTAATTAAGGCCCACATGCTTCCAATTAAACATCTAATAACAATATCTAAAATCTAAACTGATATCATAGCCTTGTATTTAGCTCTTAATGCTTAAATTGAATGATCTTCTTCTTCTAATTATTCAATTTACATTTTATTTGTATAGAAATAATATAAATAGATTTCCAATATAATTTTAAATTTAAATTAATAGTGCGCCAAATTATTCTTAGAAATGAATCACTCACCTCCAAAATCTTAATCACTCTCAGCAGAAAGGCGTCCTACATCTATTTTTTTGCATCCTTTTCCAAAACCTCCTAGTTGTTCTCATATGCCAATATTCAAGATTGATTTTGGCAAGGAAAATATTCCACCATAAAAAATAAGTTGGGAATAATATTCATAATCTCTTTAGCAATCAACTGTTTCTTAAAAGAAAAAGCCAACTTAAAAATATATTGAATTGGAGTCACAAACTGATTCTAAAATCAAATTCAAATTTCCCTTATATACAGATCATTAGCTAGGAATAAAATCAGAATTTCAAAATCTTCTATAAGAAGCATATGATAATGATGATGATATAAATACAAGAGAAAGTGTAATGAATTTTTTTATAGATGTTTGTAAAAGAGATTTAGTATAAGGAATAATGGAAAATCAATAAATTAAAGATTAAAAAGGGTACTTAATTTGTTATAAATAGAAATCCAATCCTAAATTTTTAAGGTTTAACTTCAAGATTGAGTTTGTAATATGAATCTATGAACTAAAATACAGAATGATAATATTTTATCAATTTTTATCACTTTGTATATATTAATTAGAAACATATCTCTCTTTCTTTAACTATTTATTAAAGTTGAATAAAAATTAATTAAATTTTAAAGTAAAAATAAAAGTCACAATTCATCATCATTATAATTATTATTTTCATATATTTTTTCTTCAAATAATGATTTTAATCCTTATCCATCTATTCTTGAATCGAAAACTTATTCGAAATAGTTAGTCTCCCAATAATTTTCAATCAATCGTTTTTTCTCTTTTGGCCATATAGAAGGAGATGGAAATAATACATCTAATCCAATTTGAAAAACATTATCTATTAATTATTATATGAAATCCATATCTTAGTCTAATATTGGATTTGGTTTTATATTAATCAAACAAGGTTTACCTTAATTATCAATTATCATAACAACTTTAAGCAACTAATTAATGTGATTATTTTAATACCTCAAAATTATGATCTTTAACTGGCATCTAAATAAATATAGATTTCAGATATTCTTATAATATTTGTTTTATTTATGGATAAATAGTAGAGTCATAATCAAAATTATAATTATTTAAAAGTTTTAAAATATTCTTCATTGAAATATATTGATTAATTATTTTCTAATTTGAATTTTCTATAAATACAATATGTGAATCATTGTTAAAATCAGAAAATATTATTTCTGATTTTTAGCCATAAAATTATTAAAACAAATAACCTCTTACAATTCCATTTATTTGAGTAATCAATAAATAATAACATAAATCTAATTTAATTTCTTAAAATTCAATTGAACGAATATATTATTAAACTATAAAACTCTATTAATTTCTATTTGGCATCTTAAATTATTCATTAAGATAATTAAAAACACTTTCTGTATTTTTACATATCATAATTTTATCATCCTCCTATAAATCACTCTTCCTTAAAATCCAAATATCAGTTGATGTCTTGAAATTCTTTAAGAATTCATAAAGTAGATTCTCACCTAAATAATCAACAACCATAGATAGAGGAATAAAATTTTCAACATATTATCTTGTTAATTGACAATATTTAATTATTGAACAAATTAAATTTTTTTTGGTCCATAATGGATAGGAAATATCAATATGATTATGTACTTTAATTAAGGGTGATAATAAACCAAGTTTATTTTCAATAGCATATTTCATCTAATCCTCAACTCCTTCAGATTTTTTTACTATTTATTCAAATGGTTGAAATTCTATTTTATCACTTATATGTCTTTATGCTTATTTACTTAAAAAAGATACGGAAGCCTAAGAATACCAAAAGAACTCAATATCTTCATCTTAATTGTTAGATTCTTACCACCACCATCTATAACTCAAACATTTTTTCAATACTTCCTCATTTTTTGCATCTTTAATAAGATACCTTTAGATTCTAATTGCTGAAGGTCTAACATATATCATATGTATGCATTAATTTTAAAAAATGTTCCTTTAAAAACACTTCATTTTTCTATGAATTGTATCTTCATAATTTTAATTTTATTGTAAATTTATGGATTTTTTTCTTTAAAATTATTTATTATTAATTTTTTCTTTATTTGGTCTAACAAATGTTTTTTTTTCAGGATATGTAAAGCCATTCTCAGGTGATATTGGAGACAATATTTGTTCATTTTATTTTTACATAGGCTTTTAAATATCCTTAACAGATTTTTCTTTTTTAAATTAGGCTAAAGGCTTTAGATTTTTGACTTGCTGAAAATTATGCAAATATCCATTTTTAGCAAGTTAGTACTGAGGCGATTAATCTTGGTTTTTTTATTTATTAACATAATATCCACTATCATCAAGTACATTTTCTAAGATTTTTCTTTAACTTTATAGATTATTATTTGATGAATGTGATTATTTATTAATCAGATAAGGCGATAATTGAGGTTTTAATGATTTTTTTCTTCCTCTTAAATTTGTAAGACCATCATCTAGTTTATCTTCTCTTTGTGAATACGGACTTCCAGATGATTCAACATAAGAGAGGTCTCGAAAGCTTTGATTTTAATGAATCGATTTTTAGTTAATGAACAATTTTGGTTTTTAACCATTTATTACTTTATGTGTAGGTTGAAAGTAATGATTGCCAATCAAATAGGATTTTGAGTTTTATTCTATTATTTAATCATAATTTTTTGTATTATCTAAATCTTTTATTGAATGACTAATATGGGTACTAGGTTCAGTTTAGAATTTAAGAATTGAGGGCATTTTTAAGTTCATCTCTAATTTAATTGTATTAATAACTTATATAAAATTTATGAATTTTATATTGATCTTCAAAAATGAATTTTCAAATAAATAGCAACAAATACAATTGCATTGAGGGAATATTTTAGCAAGAAATGTATATTATTTTTTATTTTCTTTCATTCAAATATCAACAATTAAATGATTTTTATTTGTAAAAAAATTGAATAATTATGAAATCTTATATCTATGGTTATTTATTCAATTAAATTAGACTCAATTTATTCTAAAGATTCTAATAGATAAATATGTTTATCAATTATTGTTCTTCATTTTATTAAATCTATTTTAATTTAGAACATACGCAATAAATAACAATTTTTATAAAAATTTATGCAATATATTTTATTACTTGATGGAAGAATAGCTAAATTATAAGAGAGGGTTAGTTTATGCAGTGAATTATGATAAGAATTAGAAATTTGAATAAAATACACAAAAATTAAGGAAAATACTTTCAGTTTCTTAAAATAAATAAATAAATAAAGTCCAAAAATATAATGATATTGTTTACATTGATATGATTCAAAGCCCCCATTCCATAAATAGAAATAAGTCTATTCCAAAAAAGGAAAATATCATATCGAAATTATACAAAAAGGTATTTGCATAAAAACCAAAAACCAAATGAATATCAATATAATAATTTAAGGTTAATATAATTTAAAATTTATCTTTTCACTTTTTATTTCAATCTTCTTACAAAAACAAAAAACTTTGTTATTTAAATTTTTTTTTTAGAATTCAGAATTTCCATTTTTGTTTTACGAGGCTATTTAATAAAATACTTGATCTAATAATGTTCCTACAATTTATTTTAGTCTATCGAAGTAATTTATATGAATTCTAATAATGTATTGTAATTAAAAAATTATAAAATTCATTTTTTTTAACTACAATGATGAGAAACACAATATTACATACTTACTTGAGTTGCTATCTATAGATACACTCTTGATGATATATTATTTTATGTATAAATATATGTTAAATGGAGTTTTAGAAAATTTTAATTATTAAGTTTGATCTTAATCCAATTAGGAATTATAATAAAAAAATTTATAATAAAATGAATTAAATTGATGAAGACATATAATTTGAAGAAATAACAAAGAGAAAATAATACTAATTGATTTGTTTATTATTAGCTAAGGATATCAAATTATATAATCTCTTTTAATACTAAAATCAATAACCTTTATTACATAATTTACTAATTGAAAAGTAAGTTGAAGTAGCTCATTATGTGATTAATCTAATTTAAAATTACAGTTAAAACCCTTTATATATACTTGATTAACCAAACCAAATATAATAAACTCCTTTTCTTATTGCATGTTATTTTGGGTAATTGTCAATTATTAAACATCTAATGAAATTAGGTGTTAATATTAATATAAAAGATCATAATGATTTTACTCCATTGCTGTTTGCCATTAAATAAAATTAAACCTATATTGCTATATATTTGATATATAAGTAAAAATATGATTATATAAAAAAGAGGGGCAGAAGTATTTGTAAAAGATCTTAATGGATGTAGTTTAGCTCATTGGTCTGCATTTAATAATAACTTATTTATGTTGAAGATATTGAAAAATCTTTTTAAATTTAATGTTTTTGAGTTGGATAAAAAATAAAAAACTCCATTATCAAGAGCTTAAGAATAATTATCTTATGAGTGTTCAAATTATCTTAGAAGTTTATTAAAGAAAAATAATGGACGTAGTAAATATTTAACATATCTTAAATTACATTATCAATAACACTTATGTTTTATTGTAATAACATCTTTAAATTTATTCATCTTATCTAAATTTACTGAGTTTAAAGAACCAATTTTAAAACATGGATCACTTTTTTTATAATTGTATAATATATTCTTTAACTTTATTCTATTTTATATTATAGAGAATGCATCTATTGCTAAAGATGCATTTTATTAAAATAATAGAAATAATGTCTCTAGTTTTAATATTTCAAATGAAGGATTTGGAGATGCATAAGGATGTTTAGAAATTGATCAAACATTTGTTCCATTTATTTAAGATGAATAAAATAATAATTAATCTATGAGTTTAATTTGTGATAGCATGGTTGAAATAGAAGTAAAATTTTAAGTTATTAATGAGAAACCATTTATAAAACATATTATATAATCAATTGATTAAGGTACATAAATACTATTTGAACCTGATTAATTATGTTTAGATTGTATGATAGTAAAATTGCCAAGAACAGAACATTGTGATAATTGTAAATGTTGTCATCCAAATTTTTAATTGCATTCAACTTTTTATAAGAAATGTTTATAAGATGATGGAATTTATTTGTTTTACTTTACATTAATAATTACATAATTTATAGGATTTATAATTTATTTGTGTAAGTTGTGATGATTATAATAGTTATAAGATTCCTATGCGTAAAGTATTCATTTCGAATTTGATGAAATAGAAATCAATTTTACTTTTTTTATTGCTATTTTTATAACAATCTTGATTATTCATCAATATATATATATTGTTGTATTATTTTATGGAATTGTTACAAATAAAACTTAGTATTTGAATAATTATTATATTTAGTTTTGAAATAATGAATTTAGAAAAATGTTGGTACAAATATAAAACAATCATATAGCCTAATGGTTTAGGAGTAAGAGTATTAAAATGAATAATAAAGTAATGAAAAATTATAATAATTTAATTTATTATCAGATGATTTAATTTTTATTAGGATTTATTACAGCATATAATAATCTATAATATTAATAATAAATGAATCAATTAGATGATTTTGATCAAATTGGATTCTAATAATCTTCTAGTTAAAATGCAAATTTTGACTTTGATGGAAATATTAGAAATCCATAAACTTCTACAAATCATAACAGAAAAATAAAAGAAAATACAAAAAATACATATATCAAAAAAATTAGTTCACTAATGAAATTATCTCCAACATAAGAAAAAATTGAAGAAAAATCAATGTAAATTGTTTCATTAATTAATAAGGCCAGAAAAAAAATTATTAACTAAACCATTTTAAAGTCAATAATAATTTAATTATATTTCTCAAACAGAAAAAGAAGACAAATTAGCAAAGAATAGAGAATCAGCTAGAAATAGTAGAAAAAGAAAGAAAATTTATCTTGAATTACTTGAAAACAAAGTAACAAAATTATCTGAATAATTGGATTTATTTAAAGATGTTAATGATAAAACCTATAGTTTGGCATAAAATTTATAAATTAAATTAACATAAGTAAATAAATATACAATATACTTTATTAGAAAAAAGAATAAGATTAAACAAAATGTATATTATTCAACAACCTATAAACATCATTATAAAATAATGCATCAGAAGCAAATGTTGATTCAATAATAGATTCTTTAAATGTAAATTATATATAAATATATATAGAAAAAATTTGGTTCAGCATCTTAAGAAAGATAATTCTTAATTGATCATTATGCAAGATAAATAAATGAAAATTGTTTAGCTCCATTTTGCAATTATATTATTTAAATAGCTAAGAAATAAGATGATATCTTTTGTTAAAATGAATAGTAAATAAATAAATAATTATATAATAGAAATATGAATCTTAATGTGTTAACTTAATTGAAATTGGCAGATAAATAAAAATAAATACTTTTAAAAAAATAATAAAAATTAGCTAAACATTATAATGATATCTCTAAGTATATTTTAATCTTATATTTAAGTGCTGTTACTTAAATTATGGATACAAAATCTTAGATCTAAAAAGAACTTGCATCATTTGATTCAACTCTTGATTAATTGAGAAATGAATTAAGACCATCATAAGTGGCAAAATTACTCTTAGCAATTGAAAAGAAAGACATGCAACATACCTTTAAAGAGTCATTCGAGAAATTTTTTGGCCATGACATAGAAGAGGATGACTCTTTAGATTTATATTAATTTATGACTGAACGAAATTAATGTAATTCTCTTGGAATTGACATTTAAAATACCTATGATGTTTTTAGAGCTTCTCATGATTTTCTTTTTGGCAAAAATGAAGAATTAGAAAATAATTAGATAAATAGTAAAGATATTTGAAGTATTATAATAACTTTTAAATTTAAATAATATAATTCAATCCTTATAATCTAGTAACTCTGTATAAGCCTCTTTAAAATAACACATTGGAAATCGTTAACTTAATTTAAAATATACAGCAGAACTATATGGAAATACAGAATTCTAAGAATTTGTACTGGACATAGAAGGTGATCTTTATAACTATTAACCATTGTGATTTTCATAAAATTGTTCAGACTATATATTTATATATTAAAATTTACATCATATTATAAAATTTCTAAGAAATAAGATTTATCCATTTCATCTAATACAATTTTCATATTATTAGGGTTTCTAAACATACAACATAGTAATGTAGGAAAGAGTATATTCTTTAACATTTTATCAACATAAAATTGAGAAGGCATTTACAATAAATTATGTAATACAGATATCTTTTTCATAGATCCTACAAGTGAATTTTAATTATTAGGGTTTAAAACACAATAATATCCTATTAAAAGAATTAATTCATTTAATAAATCTTTTAAATCTTAACTCTATTCAAGATTGCATTTACAATATGTTACAAGTCTTTATATAATCATATGAACTTCTTATTTATTAGATTATTTATTCATAGTTTCCTACAAAACAATAATATTTAATCTAGCAATATTATTTAAAGTTTTAATTCCTACCATGAAAAAACTTATTATTGTTTAAGGAAGTAATTTATTTGTTGTAAAACAGACTTCTTCACCTACTACCATTTAACTAATTAATTAGATTAAACCAAATAATTCTGTCTCTTTAAGTACAAATTTAAGATGTTCTTCAAAACTTTTGGATATTCGTTTTCCCTCTTCATCAAATAATGATTTATTTTATGTCCTATGATTTTTATATAAATATACTCAAATCCATGATAATTTGTTGCAGCCTCTATAAATGCAACACTCTTTACTAGAGCAACAGGAATTTTACCTTCAGAATTTATATAATCTTTTTCAAATGATAGAAATCTTAATTTCATCTTATTGAATAATCCACAACAATACATATATTCTAAAGTATCTTCTTATATTCCTTAAATATTTAAATCAGAAAGTGGATCTGTAGGTAATTTATGTTTAATAAGTAAACTAAATATTTAAAAACATTAAGCAACAAATTGATAACTATATATAAATTTAGTTGGTTTTGATGCTAAAAAGTTGTACATAAAATCAATAATAGGTAATAATTTATTACTTGCCAACATATAAGTTCTATTATTGTATACACTACAAAATTAATAAACTATTTCAGTTGCCTCAATGATAATTAAATAATATTTACCACTCCAATAATTTTAAGATATTAAGTATATTCATTTTTATGACAAGAAGATATCTTCTTAAAAACTTCAATAACAATTTATATGAATTTCATTTATCTAAGATTAATTAAATCTGTTTCTTGATTGACTAATTTTAATAATTCTTTCATTTATTATTCAATTTAATACAAATCTTTAATTTAATTGTTCAATAATTTATCTAAATCATTAGACAATTTCTAAATTCTTTATCTATTATAACTATTTCCTGGTTCTTTATAACAATAAATATTCATATTTTCTAATTATAAACTCTTTTATTATATTTTTTATTTAATTTTTTAACATCTTTTTCTAATTGATTAAAATCTATTTTATGATATTTCATCTTTAGATCCTTTTACAACTAAAATGTCATTTTAAGTAGCTTATAAATTATAATATTGTTTTGTCTATTTATGTGATTTTGATTATATATGTTTATTATCATCTTCATTTTCTATAATACTATTACAAATCTAACATAGTTTAAAAAATTATGGTTCTTCTTCTTTTTCTTTTTTTGGAGTAACATTTGTACTTGAATTTTCTTCATTTTTGAATGTTGGTGATAAAGGTTATTATTATTACATAATTTATTGCAATAAATATGAATTTTCATCATATTTTGAACGAATTAATATTGGAAATACTATAGATTTTTTTATTGTAGGTACAGATTATTCTCTAAATGTTTTAGATGGCATAACTTTTTATTATTTTTACTTTTTCTTATTTTCTTTAATTTCTACTTATTTTTATTTCTATAATTTAAAATATACAATTTGATCACTTTCTAATGCTTATAAAGAATCTGATAAAGATTTGCATTATCTTTTCTTTTCTATATCTAAATCAATTGATGCATCATCAGAAACAGATTAATCTAATAAAATTTTTAATTCATCTTTCCTTTTTATCTTTTAAACATCTTTTTTTACCTTTTTCACTTAAAAATCCTTTTTTTCTTATTTCTTTAATAATTTTTAAAGTTTTTCATCTTCATTTTCTTTCTTCTTTCTTCTTACTTCCTCATCCTTTTATTTTTTTTACTATTGTTTCTCTAACATATGTTTTTCTAAATCCTTTTTTCTTTCTTATGATTCTATTATTTTTTCATCAAATTCTATTTTTTTATTCTAAGCTTCAAGCTTTTAAATAAATTATGCTTCCCTCGCTTTATCTGATTCTAACTTAGCTCTCTATTTTTTCTCTTCTAATCCCTTTTAATATCTCTTGTATTATTATTATATAAACATACTTAGGTGGCTTCTTCATATTTCTTGAACATTTAATCTAATGAACACTATTTTTTTCTTTCACATTATTCAAATTAATTCATATAAAAGAAATTATTAATTATAATATACAATTTATAATACTTTTATTATTATCATATAATACTTGAATATCTAATGTAGATTTACAAAATTATATATTTATATATATATACTAATAAATTAAAATAAAATAAATTCTATTCAGAATGAATCTTATTTAAATGACTTTTATTTATTTATTTATTAATTAATAATTATTAAAATACTTAAAAAAATTAATTTATAATGTATAAAATCATGATTAACATCATTGATGAGATTGTTATTTAGATTTTACAATTCCAATTTTTGATTAATCTTCATCAAACCAAACATAATGATGAATAAGAAATGGCTATCCTAAAACAATTAGCTCATCTCCAATTATTGGATTATTTTTAATATATGGTATGCAAATGTCTTTAGAAAATAAAGCATGAGTATTTCTTTTAAAATATTATGATCCTGTCAATGTAAATTTAATTCCTCTATCCAAAACAAATGTCAAATCTGGAAATGACTCAATATTACTACATAATTAATAACTAAAATGTAAATCAAATTGATAATTACACTCCAAATTTCTAATAAAATTTCTCCATTGCATATACTGGAAAACTTATAAATGATGTACCAGAATCAATTAAACCTTGACAATTATTGCAATCATCAATTCTTTCATCTCCCAAGAAAACTGCTTTAATATTTATTGTCCAAAGATTATCTGATGTAACATCAAAGAATTTGAATTCTTCTCCTGGAGCAATCAAATGTTATGAAATGCCTCCAAGAACTAACTCACTTGACATATCATCATCATCACTATTACTCAAATACAATGAAAAATTTCTAGTATCGGTCTTTAATATAGTATTATATGATATCTTACATCATATTCTAAATTATGTATATAGGATGCATTTTTAACAACAGCTTCCTTTATACGTCCCAATCCCAATATACCATCAAATTTCATTTGACTAAATATCTAAAATTCAAATTTATTGATTACATCTTCTGTTTATTCTACTATTCCAACAATAAATTGATTATTTACACAATATTAATTAAGACACACTCTGTCTTCAAAAAATACACCTACTACACTTCCTGATGCAAATTATATGTCAATCTCATTGCCTACTTCTCCCTAGATAAATATAAACAAAGTACATTAGCTAATTTAATAGCTTCAATATAATATGAAGTAGTTGATAAAGATGGATTGTATGAACCATGTTGAATGCAACTGTTTTATTAACATAATGATGAAGTAAGTAGAAGATTTGGACTTCCTGTATCAATCAAAACAGTTAATTTTTAATCAGGTGTACCAACTGTCATTTCAGCCAAATAGAAGTTCTTTTGATTTTGTATGAAATTACTTCGTGCTTTTAGAGTAATAGTTCTATTGAATCATCATTTACGTCCTTTTTTGATTATTATTATAAAATTACCATAATACTATCTAAAAACTTTTGTGATTTATGATGTTTATGATGTGCTTGTTTCTTTGATAACTTAACTGATTTCCCTTGATTATGTGCTACACTCAAAAGGATCAATTAAAAGAGTAACAAATATTTAAAGCTCATTACTTCTTAAAAAACGATTTATATATAATATTAATATAATTACAAAATTTAAATATTAACAAATATGTCTAGTTACCCAAAAAAAAGAATAAACTTTTCAGAATTGGATGATCATTTTGATGATGATTAATAAATTGATTCTCTACGATATAATGCAGAAATTGATAGTGCAATTCAAATTAAAAAACCATCTGATCATGAAAAAGTAATTAAATCAAATTATATTTAAAGTTAAATGAAGTACAACAATTATTATAATTTTCACCTCATCCTCAATAAGAAAATCAAAAATTATCATCTGTTCGATGTTCATTTGGATTGAATTCAAATAACAATTTTAATCCAACCAGATTACCATTTTCTTAAAATTAAAATAGTGTAAACTCTTCTATTCAAATTGGTTCACCTGATACAGCTTCTTTTCCATTATAAAAGAAGTTTCTTAAATTGTATTAAATGAGATCGTAAAATTTATTATTATATTAATCTTAGTTCTATTGAAGAAATTAGTGCTGAAAATGATCTTAGTCAAAGTAGAGAAAATATGACAAAGAATTCAAATCATACATTAAATACTGAAGAAGATAAAAATTAGCAATTTAATTAAGATGAAACATTATAAAATGAATTATATTAGAATGATTCATATGCTCTATTTACTTAATTACTTGAATAATTGGAATAGTCATAGAATTAATTACAAAAATAATAAATATAATATCAAGAATTGCAATCTAAATATGAAAAATAACAATCATAAATCATATATTTGACCAAATTGAATTAAGAAATTACTAAAACATTAGATGAAACATAAAATCAATTATAATTATTAAATGAAACTAATGGACTTTTAAAGAAAAAGATATAATCCTATAAATAATATAGTATTACAGAGTAATCTCAATATAATGGGAATACCAATAGATATAATAAAGAGAATAATGATTATTTAAAACATCATAGCAGCACAGAATCCAATTAATCTATAGAATTAGTTAATAATCTTAAAAAAACACAAAAAGTCACCAATACATATTCCAATATAATAATGATGTTATTATTGATGATATAAAAATGCTTTTATTTAGATGAATCAATTGACAAAGATGGAAAAGAAGTTATTAATAAGATAACTCAATAAATAAATTAAAAATAATTGGTACTTACTTTATGCAATACTCATAGGATAATGTTGTATTTTAAATTGAATCCCTGATAAAGTATTTTGAGCAAAGATTCTCAGATATGGCCACAAAAAATAATAAAATGATATCGATGAATAATATAATGGATTAAATCAGATAATTAGTTGATTAAAGAATCAATTGAAATAATTAATAGTTAATTTCTATATAATTTTACTAATTTAAATAAAGTTATAAAGTATGGGGCAGAGTTGTTAGATGTAGCATCAAACAATTGATTAAAATGAAATCTAATACTAATTAGTCTTAATTAAACCTATTTCTCATAGAAATTAAATAAAAAGACCAATCTTTGAAATCAATTAAATCAATAGTAGAGAAGAAACTATGGATGAAATCAATGAATTAGATGTAGACACTAGAAAATCTTAAAGATAAATAAATGGTTGTTCTTAATAATTCTAATCAAATTTCTAATTAGGGGTATAATAGCAAAAATAGATTATAAAAAACTAAATAAAATCATTTGGTGGAGATATATCATAAATTTTCAATAGGAAAAAATAAAAATAAAATTCAAAAACTTCAGAAGAAAACAGAATTGAATAGAGAAATAGAGAATAAAATAGAAATTCTACATTCAATTATGCTAGAAATTGTGAAACAATTCAATCTCCTCTTTAATAATGGATTAAAAATTAAAGTCCAACTTATGAATCTTTAAAAAATGAAATTAAATCAATTCGTTCAATTAATGGACTAAATCAAGAACAACATGTATCAGGGATTTTAAGAGAAAAAAAAGTAAAGGCAAAATCTCTATATTATAAAAGAACTGTGCGTTTTTAATGTTGATTTTAATACGTAGCTAACTCTTTTGAATTATATAAATAAGATTGCTATAAGGATTTCAAGCTAAATCCATATCAATATAAACTAAAATCAATGAATAATCATCCTATATATCAGGTTATAGTTTTGCCTTCTTTCTTGCCTCCTCTATAATTTATCCTGCTGCATTATCAATGGCTGCCTAACTATTCGGAGGAGTGATTGGAGTCAATATTCTACAAATGTCTATAATATCAATCATATCTAGAATTGATCCAGTGGCTAATATTAAAAAACCTTCTTGCTAAATTTAGAAAGTATGGATATCAGGTAATGAAATGATTCCAACTTATTTTGCTAATGCATCTCCAAATGATCTTGTAATTGTGGCACCTTTTATATCTTATTTTTTTGATTTCACTTTTAATGGTCCTGTCTTTTGAAATCCTTAAGTGTCTTATTCAATCTTCCCACCTGATTCTAAAATTCTTTATGATTCTATTTCTTTTTCAGGTGTATGCTAATTTGACAATTACTTAATTCTCAAAGTAGCAGGTCCAAGTTAATCTGGTTTATCACTTCTTTAAAAATAAAATGTTCTCGTATCTCCTATGTTAGCAGATATTAAATAATTTTCAAAAGTAATAACCAAATTCATTGTAGTACCACTATCTGTTATATCAATATTGGATAAGTTTACCTAAAACATTAGATAGATTACTTACTAGATTGGATTCAATTTTTTAGAATGATGAAATAATATTTGAATTTAGTTGTTCTATAAATTTAGGTTAAGTGCTCATGGATTCTATCATATCATAAATGCAATCAGAAAGTGATTTTATTGCATATTAGGATACTTTTGTTCCTTATTCACCATGACCATCAGCCAAAAGGAATAAGTTTTTATCTACTTACTTATTTATTTCCAACTTGTAGAATAAGGAATCTTAATTATCTTTCTATGCCTTAGTATAGGCTTTTAATCCAGCAATTGAACTAAATATATATATTGATACAATTACCGTGTTGCAATGTACTTAATTTTATTTTATTTCTTCTAATTTTTAACCTCGTTAGTATGCTTCTAACATAATGATAATAAAGTTTACTGATTAATCTTTGTCTTGAAATTGTCCAATGTTTGAATTAGATACTTAACTTATTGTTTTTTGCAATGGTTCACTTTTCACATAGCTAGGATCATAACTATTAGATTTATTAAATTTGATTGGATCTATTAAATTGGAATCCTACTTTGGATTCAGTGCAAATATCATTTATTTATTGACTACATCTTTCTATTTATTTTATTAAGAACTCATATTATATTATTAAATTTAATACAGAAATCTATTGATTTATTCCTTAAATTAAATAACGCGACGTTATAAAACATATTAAAAAGAGCTCTGTTTAAAATACTCTTATATAAGTGTTTATAAAAATGATACAATTATAGTTATTATTTATCTATTTAAAAAAAAATAATTAATGAAAATTAAGATATTAATAATTTAAGTTAAATACATAATTGCTTCTCATTTTCAAAAATAAAATTTTTATTTATGTAAAAAAAAATTGTTAATGTCAATGACGACTTATTATAGTGTCAATTGTAAATTATAAATAAGAATGTGATTAGAAATGTAACAGTCAATTGTTAAAGTTATCTAAAATTATATATTTTTTATGAAGGATGATGAATAAAAAATCTTGCTTATCAAGAGAGTACAAATAATTATGGTTCCTGATCTGTTTCTTTTTGATTTTAAGTTAATATTGTTTAAGTTAACTTTGGGGAATCCGTTTGTGATTTATTTAGAAGAGAGAAAGTACTAAAGAGGAATTTTTCTTGTTTTTGTTCCTCAATATACTGATACAATAATTTCTAATTTAAACATTAAGATAATACATTCTTAAGACGTTAGAAGTTGCTTTATAGAATTACTGATTATTGATAGAGGAAACTTGAGGTAAGAACAATATCATTTTAGAGATATTTGATTTATTGTAATTATTCTTATTGTTTTTTTATTGAGTCTTATTGGTCTAAAAGTAGTTATACAAAAATACCTGTTTGTTCTTCCTCATCAGATTATTAACCATTACTTCGACGATGAACATTTATAAGTAGATTTCTAAAAAGATTGATAATAATCTTAAATAATATACTTGGCTTCTCTTTTAAAATACTTGTGTTGAAATTGATTCCAACCATTCTTCAACCGTTTCTTAACAAAGTTATACATATTTAATTGTCTTAAGAAAGATTAAAAGTTTCTATGTCTAAAATATTATGGGAGCACCTAAAAAATAAATTTGAATCTTCACTTTACTTTATTAGCAAATTCTCTAGAGTTTTTTATATAGAACATCTCTCCACAAGGGGACCACTCTATCAAATGTTTAAGCTTTGGTGTCTATTGAAATTCTATAATTATATTTTTGTACATCAAGCATTTCAAAGGTTCTGAGAAGGAAATGGGCAATACCTACTCTTCTTTTGGAACTCATATTTTGAATATAAATAATAAAAATAAAAAAAGATAGAATAAGAGAGTATGATATTTAAGATTGGGTATTTAAAATTCTTAATATTTGATGCGTCACTTCTTGTCTAATAATTTTGTTTCCGAACGAGGTACCAAATTCTCTATTAAATTAAAATCATTCATTCTTTCTAATTTCATCTAAGTTTCCTTATCCACTTAAGGTGTATGATATGATACATAAGGTTTGAGCTTAAATAGTTATTATATTACTTCAAATCCGGTTAAATCTGGTATATCGTATTAAGGAATTCTACTCTTATCAACCACAAATTTGGCTTATTTTATAATATTTCAATTACTTCCAATAAATTTTCCAAATACTCTATCACTTTCTTATCTCATTTTTCTAATCCTCATTATTCCCTCATAACTCTTAGTCTATTCAAACTATTTTGCATAATTTTACATTTTTCAATTACTCTACTGCATTCAATGACACAGCCCCAGGTTCTTTATGATATTGCTGATGTCCTAATTTATAATTATATAATCCAAGAGTCTTTCGGAAAGTTTATCCAGCCTTTCTTCTACAAACTGAGAATCCACTTTGCATTTAATATATAAATTATATAAAAATTAATATTCCTATCTTAAAACTTACTCATTCATCGTATTTTTATATCAGTAAATACCATATATTAGATCATTTTTATAAATCTGAATATTAACAACATTTGACTTTAAAATTCCTATAAAAACTATATAATTTGATTATTAACAAATAATATATATGTATTATTAAATAATATATTTTCTAATTGATTATCATATATAGGTTCATCTCTCTTTGCAATCTAAATAATTATACCATTTTGTATATTATTAACCATATTTAAATTGCACTAAATGAAATTTAATATTATATAAAAATTTTTAATAAATTTAACTCTTCTAATTTCTTTTTCTCAACTAAAATTGATACACTATATTTTGATTATTCTTTAATTTATTCTTTATAAGTTATTTATTTTATTACTTTTATAGAATTTGATATCTAATCTTCAATAATTTATTGTAGATTCAATCAATAAGCTTTTATAATTTATAATATCTATATTAATAAGTATTTCTCATCATTATTTATTTAGATGTTAAAATTATTTCAAGAAGATTGGATGCTTATGCACACTATTAAAGTGCTATTAAATTTATGAATTATATAATTTTATTAAAATGAAAATCATAATATGTAATATGATGGAATAGCATTTTGAGTTTTAGGTTAATCCAAATGATACAGTACTGTAATTGAAATAATTATTCTGTTAAAAAGAAGGCTCAGTTTTAGCAAATTGTAGATTAACTCATGGATAAAATGAATTGCATGATAATCAAACAATATAATAGTCAAATCTTAAAGATGGAGATATAATTTATCATAGCATGAACCTTGGATTTTGATCATTTATTCTATATAATAAAACAAATAAAATTAAATGAGTTAATAATATCACTTTAATCTTTAATTACTCTATGATAATCTTTCAATTTCTTAATTTAAAGATAACATTCATATCTCAAAATATTATCTAAATGCAATAGAACTAATGTAAAATCATTTGAGAAAATTCTTAAGAAGATTGATTTAAAAATAATTCTTTCTAATAATGAAAAATTTAGATTATTATAAAGACTTTGTTTTCAAGTATATCAATAAACATGTATAATATTGAATTCATAAAGTTTATTTATGTTTGTATTATATTCTTATAAATTAAAGAAATAATTTCTATAAAGTAATAATTTATTAATCAAAGTGATTTCTCTTTTGAAAAATTCTAATATAACTATTTTTGAGCAAATATTCATTAAAAGCAACAGAATAGCTCATAATTAATTATTGATGTAAATTATTAAGAAACGATAATAAAGATCTTCAAATTATTTCGACTCTCTTTAATTTTAATGAAATTTATTGTTTTTTATTTAAAGGATTGCATAAATTCCATTATGACTTCATTTTTTTCCTTTTCTTAAAATAAATATGATAAAAATCCTTTTTTATGAACTGATACTTAATATTTTAATTTTATTTCAATATTGTATTTTTTCATTATAATCATCAAGTATCTAATAAGTAGAATAGTATATGATTATTCCTTTTTGTATAGATTTTATATAAAATTGTAAATAATTAAACTTAATTGGTTTTTTCCATAAATAAAGCATTTAAAAATAGTTAATTAATAAGGTTATATAAGTTTCAGGCTTATTAATTATTATTCAATATAGTGAAATTAGCTATCTTAAGGAAAAAGAATAAGTTTATGTCTTCTCTTATTTTTATTCTATTATTAATTTGAAGAAGATTATTTCAACTTCACAAATGTCACATTAAATAAATTTTAATATAAATAGAAGATGATTAAAGACTTAAGAGTAGATAAAATTGGAAAAGGTAATATTATGATAATAATTAAATTATATATATATTAATGTTTATCAGGAATGAATTGAAGCCTGTACTTT